GAAAAATGTCGGTTAATGCCCAGCAGCTCAGTCTTTTGTGCTGAGCACAGTCTTTTGTTATAAGGCCCAACTCTTTTGTCCCAGTTTTGGGCTCCCCAGCTCTGCATATAAAGCCTATGTACTCGAAAACGGGTCGCCTGGCAGGAAGTGGTTAAATGCACATTTAAGACCGGCCAAGCATATATTTATCTCCTTATTCTTTGCTGGCTTACCTGCATTATCAAGTGCTTTTAGCGAAGCTCCGTGAGTAATGAGAAATGCAACCACCTTGGCATTTGATGACAAACAAGCAATGTGGAGTAGACTCCTGCCATCATCAAAAGTATGATTTATATCTGCAATGTCCAATAACAAAAGTACACAAATTAGAACTTTTATTGATGAAACATTTGACCAGGCCACCACAATTGAATGAAATGGAAAAATGATGACGGTGCATGTAGGGTGAGACAACTCCATTCAAAATGAGCTGTCAGGGTCACGGGCCTGTTGCTATGCAACGTCTTCAGGAAGACAAGCAGCGTTCTGGAGGTTAGTTGGTCCCACACTACATGTACATACGGCCACTCAGTGCACTTTATGGAAACACATACCAGTTTATGCATATGTACTCATGTGCATACTGCACTTACATGTATGTTGGACATGTTGGAAGGTCATCAAACTTACAAGCCCAGTCAGGCCGAACGTTAGCAAGCCTTGATTTTCTGTTATTTGTTGCCTCCGAGTTCTACTGCTTGCTTGTTTGGGTCTCTTCACATTTGACTTGTTTACATGTACCAATTTTTTTCCAGTAGCTCTGTGTATTGAAATGTGCTGGTAAGACTTAATTTGGTAGAAAAATAGCACCAACTCTCCAAAACCTGCCCATCTCTCTACCGTCACTGAGCCAATAAAGAACCCGGGCCAGTTTTTATGCCTGAAGCCTACAGTTCCTTCAAAACTTGCCCATCGTGCAACTGTCATCGAAGGTCCCACCTCTGCAAAATTCTCCCCGTCTTCCTAAAACTTGCGCAGCCGCGTTGCTTTGCTGAGAACCCAGGCCCCCAGGGCACAGTCTCGATTGTTGTTCTCGAGACTGGGTTCACGCTGGTAGCACGGCTAAGCCGACGAAATGTGGCTGGTAAAAAAAATGACAAACTAAAATGACAAGTAGAGAGAGCTTGTCTATTATACCTAATGATTGAAGAAAAAAAATGCACTCCTTATTTAAAGATGGAAAATCTGGGAAAAAAACACACGTTGTTGAATATGTTAATACAATAGAAACATGCCCCTTTTGTAAAGAAGATACCCTGTTGTCACTTAATTATGCATCATTTAAATATTGTAATAGTGTTTATAGGGAATATTCTAAGATGAGGGACGATAGTTTGATTTTGAAGATGGTCTTATTATTAGTATGTATTATTTAAAAATAATATGGTTTAATAAAGAGAGATAGTTAACTCTATTTAATCATGGAATGCAAAAAGTGTACTGTATGCCACAAAGAAATACCATTTGCAGAGTTTAAACTAAAAAGCTAAAAAAAAGTAATCGCCTTTTGTATGCGTTGTTTAGATCACCGAAGATGCTGGGGAACTTGTGAACAAGGTCTTTATAAATATAGCTGCTCTTTATCCAGACCAATTTTGGAAGCAGAAGTGAACCAAAACAGTAAAACTATCACAAGAAAGATCTTTCTTGGGAACATAAAAAATATAAATTGGCTTGTTCAATTTGTGCACCGAGATAATGCAAGCATGATAAATATAAGCACAGGTGTAACAAGTGTAAAAAGGCAGTAAAAAAAAAAACTCCCTCTCTTCAATTGAGGGGAAGGGTTTTTCTTGTTTAAAAAAATGAAAAAAAAATATTATGTTGTTCTGTTATGTAAAAAGAGAAAATACCAGGACCGGCCTATTATTAAAAAATACAATACATGGAATAAGTCAATTTTAAAAGACTACACATGTAGAGTGGCACCGTACCCTGGAGGTGGGTCGGCGACGAGAGTGCAGTTACTAAAAAAACATAGGCAGGCATCACTCAAGCGAACACTCACCAGAAGAAAGAAATATCTATAATGAAGTATTCATTGTCCCGTCCAGGAAGGTGCTGGATGCTGTCCCGACCACCGAGTACAAGGTCATTGTGCCAAGGGCTGGTTCGCTCTGCAGAACATCCTTCCGATAGCACTTGGTGAAAGTAAAGGGGGATCTCCAGCAAGCCGCCAGGCAGATTTCTGCTAGAGGAACTCCTCTGAAGTATGACCAGGATGCGGAAGGGGCCCGAACATCGAGGGCCCTGACGTGAGATCGGGTCATCTCGTCATGTGCCAGTCAGTCTCAGTTCGCGAAGATGATGGCCGAGACCGTCCATCGGACAATAGTGTCCTTTGACGTTGGATGAAAGGGTTTTGTTGTAGTGATGAAGAGCCGGGAACTAGACTCTCGGCAATGCTTGGTCCTGGCAAGGTACCACTTGAGAGTGCGAACTGGACACCGTATCTTGTCAGAGTCATCTCTCGAAAAGTGAGATTATGTCAGGAATGAATATGTCGGGAGGCAGGAAGGTAGGCATCTGGTTTTTCATCAAAAACTTGATGGCTGGGATAAGCCGAACCCCATGCTGCCCCCAGCGAATGTGACTTTCAGCAATCGATAGAGCATGCAGTTTGCTACCACGTCTTGTTGTAACAACTGTAAGGAGGAACACCAGTTTGATGCTTAGATGGAGATCAGATGCATCAGAGCGTGGCTCCAAGGGGGGACCGGCAAGAATGCGTAAGATGCTTCCAAGGTCCCAGGATAGAATGAGGTGTTTGACATGAGGATGCTCGGCAAACATTCCTCGAGGAAGCTGGTGGATGTCAGCATTATCAGAGACCGTTGATCCATCGCTGAAGCCCGAATGAAAAGCTGCCAAGGCCCACTGCTAGTTGCGGATGGTGGCAATCTGGAGGCCCAAATGGAACAGATACATGGAAAAGTCTGCGACGGAACTCACAGGAGCTTCAGTTGTAGAAACATTGTGGCTGCATCACCATCTAGGAAAATGCTGTAGTTGGCTCTTGCTAATTTTGCGAGTGGACAGTCATCGACCCGGGTCGCCATGGATGCAGCGTGCGCAGAAAGGCTTGACGCTCTGAAGGATCATTGGACAACGTCCAGCACATGAAGTGGAGACCCACCGGTGCTGGATGGGGGACCCCTGACTTGGACTGAAGAAGTATGTCCTTCCTGGGCAGAAGGACCAGCGGCCATCACACCAAAAGTCTTGTCAGTATCAGAAACCATGGTTGGCGAGGCCAGAACGGAGCGATGAGGAGGAACTGTTCTATCTTGGACAGGACACGCAGGATATTGAAGGAAAGGCATACGCCAGAAGCCCCGACCAGTCGAACTGTAGGGTGCCTGTCGCCCATGCCCATTGGTGAGGGAACCTGGAGCAGAACTTCAGGAGATAGATATTGTTGGAGGAAGCGAAGAGGTTGATATGGGGATGCTCGATCTTCGCAAAAATATGGCTGACCACGACCTTGTTGGTCGGACAGCGCCCTGAGAGAGTGCGTCTGCTATGCTGTTGCTGGTTCCCGCTATGTGGACAGCTTGGAGGGTGATCTCTTGATCATTCGTCCACATGAAGAGCTGCCATGCAAGGGCGCAGCGTTGAAGGGAGCGAGTGCCACCCTGGCAGTTGATGTACAATGTATGCCACTGCCATGGAGTTGTCACTTTGGACTCAAACGGAACAACCCACTAGATATAGTTGGAAGTGGTGTAGAGCGCTAAACACTGCTTGAAGCTTGATTGATGTAGCCGTGTTTGTCTTGAGAGGCAGTGTCCCAGACCCTGTAGGCATGGAGTGGAGGAAGAAAGGCCCCATCTTAATAGCAACATATCTGTAGTCCCAGTCAAATCCAGACCTAAAGGTACAAAGGGGAGACCGGCCAAGGGTGCTCGATGATGGTCCACCAACGGAGGTGATTGCATAGGAAGGTTGGTCCACCAGTAAATAGAAGCTGAAGTATTCATTATAAGAAAACAGTAGTGAGCCCTGTTACATTGTACTATGTTCGATTTGGCCATTTGTTTCCTGAAGTTGGAGGGATAAGGCTATATCATTACATGCACGGGGAATTAATATCGTATGCCATATACCGTATGCATTGCAACAATAGAAAGAGGTAGTGGTTGTTACAGCAACAACTACAGAGCTGTTACAGATTTCGAGTTGTTTTAATGGGGAAAAATAAAATATAAACAAAATGATGTAGAAAAAACAAGGTGACATCTTCATGACTTCATCAATCGGGAATAATTCTTGTATCAGGGTCTTTGTTGGCTGTAAGGGACGGTGACCATTTACATGTAGATCCGGTATGGAAAGGGCCTGATCGTACCCAGTCTGGTATTAAGCCAGGCTGGTATTCAGCCTGCCCTACCCTGGTACACAGGCCTTTCTGACCTGTGCCCTTTGAAGTCATTGAGGTGCATCAGTCTATTGCCCCTCAGAGAACAGCAAGAGCTGAACAAATGAAGACTTATCAGATTATAGCCTACTGGCAAGAGTTGGCCAAAGTGTTAATTCCTGCTGCTGGTTCTAGGTGGATTGTATTGTTTCGACTATTTAACTGATGGGCAGATTGAAACTTTATAACATTCCATATCTCTATTCTTTTGAAGTAGTACGTGTTAAGAAAACAGGAAAACAAAGAACGTTTAACTTCCCATGGCATGCAGTGCCAGCATTTGCATCGAGGTGTGATATTTTTCACGCGTAACGCTGAATGCAATAAGGGCACTCCACAAATGGATCAGGCTTGGTCCAGAATTTTTTTAGCTGAACATAATTTTCGGATGAGTACATTTATGTTCTGACTGCCGGGTGGACCATTGTACATAAGCGTGAAAGATCGGCAGTTTTCGGACATGCCTCTCTCCAAGGACATACCTTTTAACTCCCATTAAACTAAACGCAGCCAGAAATGAGTCGTATACAGTTAACAAAAAAAATTATTCATACCCCTCATACATTTTATTTTTTTTGTGTGTTTTTCAGAAGAGTGAAAGATGGGCACATAATATTTGGGGCATAATTATATATTTTTAGCTGTCAGGTATAAATGACTAAAGGTTTTGGTTTCACCTTATTTGCATAACAAAGAGAATACTACATTAATTAAATTCTGACATCCTCAGAATTATTTATCCCATTCTGCATGTCATGGCATTTAGCCACATTGCTCCAAAATGCACTGCTCCAGATATTTAGAGATTCTGCATGTTGTTTTTAATATATGCAACAATGCATATTTCCTCTATCGGAATATGTTAAAAATTTTATCTATTTCAATTGATTTGTGGAATGACATTGTCAATACTCTGCTTCAAGAGTGCAATCGTGGAGTCTCGGTTGTTGAGAACATGGCGAAACTAGGGAACTTAATGAGGATCCAAGCATGAGTGTTGTGAATGCTCACAAAGGTGGGAAAGGCTTTAAAGCCGTTTCTAAGCTCTTCAGAGTACACATTTCCACTGTACAGTGCATCGGCAAGACGTACAAGAAGTTCAATACTGTGAGAAACATCGGCAAGCATGGACAGAAGCCAAAGGTGTCTCCTCATCTGGCTAGGATAACAACAATTAAAGCACTTCAGGACAACTTGGTGAGATGGGCACCAAGGTTTCAGCGCAGACAATCCGCTGCACACTGCACAAGGAAGGCCTAGGCTACATAGGCATCGTCCAAGAAAGACCCCTGTCCTCACTCACAGGCATAAAAAAGTTCAACACGCATTTGCCAGAGGGCACTGAGACAAGGATCAAAGTTCCAATGGTCAAACGAGATGAAAATGAAGCTCTTAGGCAGGCCCTCCAACCTGGAAGAGCTAGAGGTCTTCCCCAAGGAAGAGTGGGCCAAGATTCCTGTGGAGCTGCACCAAACTCGTGAACAGCTACACAAACCACCTACAGTGTAGATGCCTAATGCCACCTAATCAAGAACAAAGGCTTTGTGATTGACTATTTATTGCGATATTAACTCTTATTGATATTAAAGGGTATGAATAATTCTGAGCATGTCAGAAATTAATCAATGTAGTATTCTCTTTGTTATGCAAATAAGGTGAAACCAAAGCCTTTAGTCATTTATACCCGACAGCCAAAAGTATTTAACTGTGCCCCAAATATTATATGCCCACCTTTCATTCATTAGAAAAACACAACAAAACAAACTGTATAAGGGGTATGAATAATTTTGTTGTTAACTGTACATACATGTATGCATTATTTCCTAGTCCATCACTACCATTCGCTAAATTCTAGATCACCAGCAGTGTGCCCCCACTCACTTGAACCCCGCGAGGGCGGCCCCTATGTTCTTCCTCTCTTTTGATACGCAAAGTGCACCGAGGCTGCGTGGGGAAGAGGGAAGGAGATTGGTAATCTGGCAGGTATGCAGCAGTAGACTCGACTCACTCTACATGTAGGTGGGGGGAGAGTCTACTGCCTGCAACCTACGCAGATTACTAATATATATATGCAGAGTAGCACCAAACCTGTGGACGTTGGGAAGGCGAGGATGCAATACCAACATCAATGCAAAACTAAGGGGACAAATGAGATCACTACAGATACATGTACATAACAAAAATAGAGCATGTTATCAGGATGAGAAGAGCTCAAACCAACTCACCATGACAAATGCTTGAGTGCCTCCTTTTGCAGGGGTAGGGGACGGCCAGCAGATGAGCTACTGCGGGGACGTTCGGTGTATAGCCAGTCCATGTGTATGGTACCCCTGCAAAACATCACTGAGATAACAGGAGGTGAGTGTGGTAGGGGTCTTCCAACAAGCAGCTTTACAAATCTCTACCACAGAAACCCTTTGAAATTGGCCCATGAGGTTGGAACGGCACGGACGTCATGGGTGTGAATATGTCATCTACACTGGTCATCTGAGCCAGAAGGCCAGTCAACATCACCAAACTAAATAGCTGAAACCACCCACCTCACAACTGTATCCCTGAAGGCTGGATTATAGGGTCTGGTGGATGTGATGAACAGCTGTGTAACTGGCCCCCAAAAGTCCTTTGTCTGATTAAAGTACCACTTCAGCATGCAGACAGGGCACCAAATCTATCTGACGAGGATGACGCCAAGAACTGGATTGCTCCGCCACTAACAATGGGATGAGTGATATCGGAGGGAAAGCATTAAGCCAGAAGACCCTCCCAAGAAATGAGCAAGGCCTTGTACGTCCAAGCCTGTGGATCTGGGAAGCAACTCCAGAATATTGGCAGCTGGGCATTTAAATGAGACACAAACAGGTCCACATGAAGTATGTCTGTCACCAGGAAAAGAGCTTGAACAACCTCTCGTTGAAGGGTCCACTCTGCCGGGCAAACTGCCCCTCGAGAGGGCATCGGAGATAAAGTTCTGTTCTCCCAGAATGTGTTGGGAAGAACCAGAACAGAATGTTGCATGGCCCAGTGAAGTAGGCGCCAGGCAGGGACACAAAGAGTCGGAGAACGTATGCCCCCACGATAGTTATTTAGGTGACGGCCGTCGCACTGTCCGACTGATTTAAGACTGTCTTGCCTATTATCATGGGGAAGGAGTGGTTGAAGGCCTCAAACGCTGCCTTAAGTTCAACAACGTTGATATGGGAACCCATGAGGGATGGGTCCCACTGGCTGGATATATCGTGCAGTGGGAGACTGGCGGTCGAGGGAATCCCTAGTCAGCTTGAAGTAAGAGAGAGGGTGAAGCTGGAGAGTCCGCATGTAAAGCCGACACCACAGGATAAGGTTGATGAGACTGGCCATCAACTTGAGAACATCAAGCCACACCGGGGCGGTCACGCAATGATGTCCATGGAACAGAAAAACCCACTAGGTTGTCCACGTGCTTGTCAGTGGGAGTGACGATGCCATGGCACAAGTCGAAGACAACCCTGAGAAAGGTTGGCATTTGTCTGGACTTGTTGTGGTTGTTCAGAAAACACAGGCAAGATGCAATAGTGTGCGTCGCCGTTATCGCCGAAGTAGCCTCGAACATCTGACTACCAAAAAATCATCTAGGTACCGGAATATCAGAATGTTGGCACAATGTGCAGTAAGTGCGCTGCCACTGCTCGAATCACTTTTGTGAAAACTCTGGGAGGGGTGGAAAGGCTAAAGGGTAGGGCGCGAAACTCGTAAACCAGATGGCGGTATGAGAAGCAGAGGAATCAGTGATCTTACATATGAATGGGGATGTGTAGATAGGCGTCCTGTAAGTCTATTGATGGCGGCCAAGCCGGACCAGCAATTCACCGCAGAACAGTACGGAACATCTCCGTTTCTTTGGCCAGATGAAGACATTGAGTGGCTTCAAATTGAGGACTGGTTGCCACTTGCCGGGTTCTTTCATAAGCATGAAAAAGAACGTTGACATGAATCCTGTTGAGCGCAATCTGGTTGAACGGGTACAATGGCATGCTTTTCCAGCAGAGATTTACGACTCCAGAGCCTGTCACTGGGATGGGTTTTTCAGTCGGTCAGAATGACAAGACAGACGGAGGGGGCTCGTGAACTCCAAAGGGTAGCCGTACATGTAGGTGAGACAGGCAAGAACCCATCCGTATGATGCTATTTCCCCCAGAACCCTGCAAAGTCTAGAAGCTGCCAACAGGTTCAGGATTGGGGGAGAACAATTGTCGCAATACCAAGTCTTAGCTTTGGCCCAAAAAGGCAGCGCTTACATGTACATGTAAATGTGGGTCGATTCTGATCTTCTGCTGGAGAAGCAGGAGTTGCAAGTCCCAGCATCTGTATCACTTCACAACGGAGCAGGCAAAGGTGGGACTCAGTAGGAGCAAAAAGGGGAACACCGAAATTCCAGTGGAATACAAACAGAATTAATGATCCAAAGCAAATACAGAATAACAAAACAACCGCTCTCAAGGTATTTTGATAAGAAAACTAGTACCATACATATAGGAATGCCACAACCTGAATAAGAAAAATTGAGTGCATATTTGTACAAAAAGCAAATGAAACAAGCAGAATACGGAGATAAACACCCTCAAGTTATATTGAGGGAGGGTCTTCTGGCTTAAGTTATAAGGAATATTTACAGCAGTCACCTTTTTTGTTTTCAAGCAACTTCAACTCCAAACTTTTATTGATGAAACTTCAAATGCCATTTGAGCTCATTTCCCCCACCTGCACGTAAAAACATTAGGAATTCTGTGGTTGTTCAACCACAAACTCTGGAAACTTGTCCACTTCATGACCACTCACATCTAAAGCCAATCATGTTACCTTTTGTTGTCTTCCAGTTTAAAGAGCACCACTATTAAAGGAAAACACATTTTCTCTGATTTTATCTGTTCAAGTACACATGGAAACATCCAAATCAAATGCAGTGTCATTTGTCTTCAGAGGTCAACTATAACAAGCTAAAAAGAGCTTTTCTTCTGTTCATGCATTGATGCGAATTCTGAATGTAGATTGCATCATTCTGAGAAAACAAAGAAAACCCTTGCCCTGTGTTTGTTGTGGATAAACCCTGCGCATGCCAAGTAATGCATACAACCATTGTAGAAGACAACTGACACAGCGTTCCATTTGGATGCTTCCATATTTATTTGAAAAGATAAAATTAGAGAAAATGTGTCTCCATTAGAGGTGCTCTTTATTCAAGTGAAACTGAGGTCTTTTGCTGGGTCTCTGTTAGGCTTGTAACTCTCAACACTTAAGTCCATGGAAAATTGACTTTTGAGATTTAGGCATCTCTTGTGAAGCTGATCTATGAATGGAGCATAATTATCATGGCTGCTCTAACAGTTGAGTCTACATTTTTCTTCTATGCTCTGCCTGTAACGGATCCCAAGAGTTTGCTTGCAAGAATACATGTAGTACACAATATCACTCAAAAGTGGTTTTTAAATGAAGTGCAAATTGCCACTTACCAATCAACTTGTCATTTAACAAAGCCTGAAGTAGCTTTACTGGCCCAAATCGCACAGCAAACCTGCAGTATTTCAACATAAGGTCGGAACTCTCACCATCACACAAACAGTCCAATAGTTCTGAAATCTTTGAAGCTGTAGGCCACAGGTCATCAAATACTACATTTGGGTCACCACTGACATACGAGTATGTGTGGCAAGTGAGATTGGCATACCAGAAAATATGGCAGAGACTAACATGAAATTTTTCATCATAAGATTGATTTTCAGTGTTCCAATCATTTGAAGTGGATTTTTCTGACTGTAAATCTGCACAAACGTCACACATAGGAGACCTTGCAGCCGAGCACATTCTTGTCCAAATCAGGTAAAATAAACAGGATCTGTTAAAAGGAACAAAACAAACAGAAAATCAAATCAACATTTAATAGACAATTACACATTTTAATCCACAACACACAGATATCCTGGAAATAATGTACAAAGAGGAACATGAAAACGATAGAAGCAGCAATCAGAAATTCAATTGACAGTGCAACACAGGCTCACATAAAATTTTGTTTGTGCTTCCTTTTACTTTGCCCTTTGGGAGGGGATCAAAAATACAGAGACCGTTCGCACGCGTCTGCATGCCTTCCCTTCCGCTCTGCACGCCCTCCTGTTCATCCACGTTCCGAATAGCACTTCAGAACGCGTTCCTGCCCGTTTGCTTGCAGGAGTGATTCAGAGAGTATTGTTATGTTAATTGGCTGTTCCTGTGCATGCGAGAATGGCAGCGTCACAAAGATGCGAAGAACATGCATACAAGCTGTTCTGAGTCTTGGCTAAATAAGTGTCAACAGCGCTTGGTCCAATAAGATTTTTTCCTTCCTCTTAGAAAATGCTCATGTTGTCCCTTTGATGTACCAACTTCCCACATTTTATACATTCTTAATAAAAACGATCCTGGTCAAGGTTTTTATTACTAAATGTGGAGGAGGAAAGAAATACATTTTGACCGGTTGGGTGCTTGGGATAAGAAAAAAATGTGAACGGGTACAGGAAAAAATAAAAACCACGTGTGGTCATGGTTTAGACAGAAAAATGCCGAGGAGGAAAGAATTTATATATTTGATGGGTTGGAATAGATGCTCCGAATAAAAATGCAGTGGTACCGGGGAAAAAAATAAAAACCACAAGTGGTCGAGGTTTGGATAGAAAATAAATGCAGAGGAGGAAAGATTGAATATATTTTGATGGGTTGGGATGGATGCTCTGAAAAAATATGCTGTTGTACCCGGAAAAAATAAAAATGAGTGGTCAAGGTGTGGATAGAAAAGAAATGCCGAGGAGGGAAG